GCGAGACTTGGAACACTTCAGTAACGTAGACACAGAGCTCATTGAGCACGGAAGTCGTTTTGCTCCAACGAACCAAGTTGTAGTGCCTAGCGGACACGCAAGATTCGTTGAGGCAATAATCGATTGGAACTGTAAATGTTCTCAATCTGGAGAGTGTAACGGGGTTACACTTATCCTGGTAACAGGGGTGTGTGTCACACGAGACGGGCATGATGTGACTGCACCCAAATAAGAATACGGTATGTGGCTGGGTAGCCAGTAATTATGCATGTATTTAGATTTTTACTATGTATATTTAGGAGAATCTGTACATTTGAGACTTAGGCAGTTTAGCCGCAGATAAAAATAACTCAGTTTTGGATTCTTAACCGGAAGTGTTGGCCTTGGGTTAAGGCAATAATTACTCTTGGAGTAAGCGGATTGCGATCCGCTAACTCGTACTTGTTCTAAGTATAGAACGAAAGGTCGGTGACCTAAATTACGCTTCCGCAAAGCGCAAAGCTATGGCAGCCCCGCTGCAACCTTCATATAATGGCGAAGTGTAGTCCATTACATCATTCTCTCCTCAAAGTCAAAAGTACCCTGATACTTTTGCATACTTTTCGAAGCCGTTCACTTTCCGATCAGCAAAGAAGAAAATCCAGCGATCAAGCCAACCTTGATGAGTGCTTTTTGCCTAAATGACAAAGAACAGTTGAACATTTCTTTCGTATTGTCGGATCAACAATCACGACGATCCAACCCGACCCAGCCCAACGCGGCTAAGCTTACCTCTTGGCGGATGTTTGATCGCCTTAAGAACAAAAATGAAAGCAAAATGGAGCGTCTGCTGCGCCCAGTCGGCGCTGGTAGGGACCCCAGTCACGAACAACCAAGTCTTGGTCGTAGTGTTGACTATAGTAAACCTACAAGTGATTCTCGTAGCTGTGGACCACATCGGGGACATCATACTCTAGGCCTAACGGGGTTCTCATGTGTCCGAGTACGATGGATAGCCCGCCACCGCCGCGCCACCGTGCTCTGTAGAAGCGTTGGTGGTTTGATATGCTTCTTTTCACGATGACGAGTCGATCAATCGTAGTGATTAACAATTGTCTCAACGGGAGTCCAATAGCGGAGGTTGGTTGAACGTGAAAACGATTGAGCGACTCTGAAAGTAGAAGAGCGCTCATCGTGGACAAATTGAAACATTGCAACGGCGTTGCTCGACGCTTGAAGATCGCGTTGAGAGCCTTTCGAAACTTGTTGCAGAGTAGAACTCATAACTCGATATTCTGACTGATGGTTCTGCCCAATGCTCGACTTTGGAGCCCGTTTTGAACTACGGTTTCAGCAGGTTCATGATGAAGTTTTCAACTCCGGAAGGACGAGGAGTCATGAGAGATGACCTGTTGCACTCTGTTGAAGAGGCAGGTTCCGTTCACGAGAAGCTCCGTGGTAATTACTATTCACACCTTAAAGCGTTGTAATTAGATAAGAAGCAATCCTTCGATGTACTTCAACGCTTGTATGTCAAACAGGGTGAAGAGTTGGTTGCTTTTCGTGAACAAATGGAGAAACTTCATCATTAGTTCGATCATCTACCAAAGATAGAGTAGGATCAGCAGATCCACTCAGAAGATACGACTTTACATAAAGCGTAAGATGTGGTGTATGCGTATAGGGATGGCAACCGTATACGGGTCACCATTGCCTTTCAACACATTAAACGGTCCAATTAATCTTGGTAAAAGCTTTCTGCTTACCTAGTTGAACGCTGTATGTTCAGCAAATTCGTCGTACAAGAACAGTGACCTTATATACTTTCTTGTTCTTCCTTCCGCTCTTATCTGCTTGTTCTTTTTGCAAACCTGAGCTTTCGCAATCGCGTCTTGAACAAACCGAACAACGGCTTGTAGCTGGACAGTTAAGTTATTGACGTGCTGTTTCTAATGACTGGTGTCGTCTAGACGTCTCATTGAGTCAAATTTCGCTTTTGACTCAGTGACAGCATTGATGTCTGAATGTGGCTCAAAAGCCATAGTTCCTCCCCCCACTTAAGGTTGAAACCTCGCCCATTATGGATACAGGTACTCTTGGATGAATTTAAATGGCAAATGACCTGTCAAGACATGCGTGAGTTGTCCACCGCAAACTTTGCAATGGAGAAAAATACAAGACATTCACTCCACTCTGAATCGACCTAGCGAACTACGCAGTACGTCCTCCAGGACTGGAGTCGCACGCTCTGTTTCACCGTCCGTTTCTGATGGTGCCGCTGTTGACATGGACAATTTGGTACCCAATAGTCCAACCCAAAGTTTCGACGTAAACCAGGTGTTACGGCCATACACGATCTCAACAGGAAACGGAAAACAACATCTTTATGGACCTTAGCTGTTTTTTCCGCAGAGATACTGTCCGAAACAGGCGCAAAACGAATCATCTTGCTGATTGGGCCCACTAACACAGAATGCTACTGCGTCACATTGAAGCCCGTACTCCAAAGCTTTAAGTGCTTTCTCAAAACCACCTACAAAGACTTTTTGGACGATCAAAATCGCACTTTGCCTGACAATTTCATCACTCATAGTGAAAAAGGTATGTGTATCATGCACGTTGGGGTCCGAGTTCTGTGTATCAACATATATCGTCTCGGTCCCAGTAGGCAGCCCTGCCACTACTGGTCGTTCCCTTTTTTACCTTTGGGAGCGTTCGATCTGACGACTATTATATCTTCCGCGGTTATCCAAACGAGCACCATGTAACTGTTGCCGACTCGACAAATACTCTCTGCAGTACCGGGCGATATGACCCGGCTTCCCACAACAGAAACTCTTTTTATCGTTGCAGTCGCTCATTGACAGGCGTGGAAATGTACGCGATTAACATTTGTTCTAAATCACCACTCGTACCGGTTGACCGGCGCGCTAGCCTTGCTACGAAGCCATTAAGCTTGGCTTGCTTTTGGTGAACTCTGGTTGCATCGCTTAATTAATGGCATCGTCGAGCGTTTTGGGAATCTCATATAAAAGACGAGAAGATGCAAATACTGACTGGGTTTCGGTAGGAAGTGAACCCTAAACGGTTCGGATTGGGCCATCATTCAAGTCTGCCATGAAGATTACAACTTGCGTTGGAACGTCATTTGGCTCGTTGACAATTTTCGATACCGAGTAGCGAGCACGCTGTGCATACTTGTGCAGGTCGTAACGACCTTGACGAGAGCTTAAAGAACTCGGTACGGGCACGGAGCTTCCTCTATGGCGTTTCAAATGATTCTTTCAACTTGACTTTAAACCGTTTGTAGCTGGTAAAGCAGTTTAGATTGGCCAAACGTTTTCTATATACTCAAACCCTTCGCACGACCTGCGAGGTCGGACATCGCGAACAACACTTGCTGCAAGGGTCCTCGTAGTTATTTTGTATTGTTTGTGGCATTCAACTCGACAAACCAGCGTGAGATAGGCTCGTTCTCTCCACATTCAATTACAACGGCATCGTTCTACACGAAGAAACAGGGGTTGTGACCTGCTTTCGAGATTTCAGAATCGCATGATGCATGAAATTGACGGCTGTGTTTTTCTGGTCATCCATAGACGACAACTGCAGAAAACAGACAACTGCAGCTTCTCCGACGACTTCACGCATCCGCTCAATTGCCATCCACTCATGTGATTACAAGTGAGGAAGCATCTCATTCATCGACACCTCAGTATGCGGTACCGATGGACCGAGTGGTACTTCAACTTTCTTCATTGTCGCTCGGAAAAGGACAAGATTATGGCTGGACTACAATGCGCGACGTGCTCAACAGCTGCGTCGTCACACTAAAATTGAGTGTCGTTGAAAAGACCACTCGAAGTGCTACCAGGTGGACGCTGTTTATACACTGTCCACTGATTACAACCCACACGCTAGTGTGACGGGGAATCGATTCGGTGCCTAATTTATAAATTAGAGTGTACAGCGATTAAATCTTAAATTCAATGACCCAAGATCTTGATTGTACGGAGCTTGAATAAAAATTGAACTTCAACTTTCGCGGAAAGTACTCAGTAGAAGGACTGCCCACTTCGAACTACAGAGACACGCCAATCTCGTCACTACACCAGATCCCCAAGTAAGAACCTGCATTATGTATCGCACAAAATGTTTGTCACATCATATAAAAATTGACGTCTGCATCTGGGAGCAGCATACTGTGATCTTCTTATATCACTTCACACAATGCATAAAATAGTAACATCATTGTGCCATCATGTAATGGCTTAGTGTAGCCCTTAGCAGCTATGTGATCACTCGATCTGGCTGCGATTCGTCACCTCTGACATGCATAAGGAGCTCTGCCCACATTTGCTTTGACTGACACTCGTCAATCTCAGCTATACTTCGCGCTTAAAATGATGCTCATCGCTTCCTTTAAGTGGTTAAGTGTACGATCGGAGCTAGCCGCACTTATTTTATAATCACAATAACTGTGACCAGTTCCGGAAGAAAGTCAGCCGGCATCCCGGCAATGTAAGCTCCTTACTCTTTGACATATCCACCCCAATTCTCTTGACGAGTATTTAATTTTTCTGACCGCACGATGTAAGCCTGATTAGGCAGTGAGAATACTCGTGACATCTGTCGCTTGACAGTACGCATGATGGAAACGTCTCACTTTCGGAGGAATCGTATCTAGGATTGCATCTCGCAAGCAAGCTCCTAGTTACGAGATTGCTGTACGCCGTCTGGATCATGCCGGGTTCCTATATCATATCATGCCGGGTTCCTACCGGTCCTGTGGTGCAGTGGTATGCTGTTCACTTCAGAACCGGGAGGTCCAGGGTTCAATCCCCGGGCCGGGTAGAGAGGGGTTAGAGTGTAATGAATAAAACTCTAGAGTACGTGCTTGACATGCCTATCTAATCAATATACTATGATTGGAAAGCGTACAAAAAGTATTGGTTGATTTTTGCGCCCATAGAATTTGAGAGAAAAAGCATAAAACAGTAGGTTTCACACCTCCCCTACCTATGGTGGACTCAACAGCTGCGCTAATCAGCATCAGACCTGATGACAACAATCACAATGCCACCATTTCTAAAATGCTTGGTCGTGCGCGAGTAGACGATGATTGCGGAGTGAATAAAAACGCTGATATATCTGAAACAGAAGACGCAGTGATTGCCGCTAAGCCACTTGTAATCAAAGGTGAGCTTCCCATTGCAATAAAGACTGAGCCGAACTGCGAATTTTGCTTTCGCAGGCAATACACTTCCAACCACTTCTCGAGTAATAGCCATCACTTATCCTCAGATTTAACGGTGTCATCCAATGACTTACCACGGGGCAATCAAATATTTGATGCCATTTCCACGACCAGTAATGACAGTCCAGCTTCACTTGATGCCGTGGCGCTCTCTGATGTTATGAAACATCTTCCGGAAGACCCACTGGCTCATTCCGGTAATCAAAGCGAAAACGGCGACCTGGTCAAAATTTCTTCTTCCTTTGACCATTCCCGCGTCGCAGTCTCGATCCCATTATCAAGATTTTGTATGTCTGACCTAACGGATGGAAGAGAAAAGAGTTTGAGTCCTTTGCTACATGAATCCTCCAAAGAGCCAAAAAGAATACCTACGCATCAGCACGAGAATGACAAACCCCTTACCGGTCGTGCAAACCATACATCCGCTACACAATCAAAACAGGTGCACAATAATTATTTATGTTCAAAAGTATCGAATATTTTACAGAGAATGGAGCTTTTGACGCCAAATGAATACGACGATCAAGAACTTTATAGCGATTTCCAGCACATGTGGCAAATTTTAATTCCAGCCAATGCCACGGCCGCACTTTTGGAGTGCCGTGGTCAGCCCATAAAGACTATCAGTAAGCAAGCGAAGTGTGTTTTATCCATACGACAACCAGTGGAATCACCTTTCAAAGACGATCGTGTTCTTCGTTTTAACGGTAAAGCCAAATGCATTTGTTTGGCTCAGCGGCTTGTCATTGCGTCTATTAGAGAATACCGGGCAAAACAAGAAGACCCCATCTATAAAAATATCGCTGATGGTATTTCACTCGTAGCTCTTCCAGCCACATCAATATCAAAAGCATTCTGTGTGGCTATTTCATCAGGAAAGAATAATAACTCAGAGATCACAAGTCCATTTACTTGGCTTGTAGAGCGCAAATTTGTGGGTAAAATGATGGGACGCCAAGGCAACATCCTTGCTGCGATCCGTAAAGAAAGTGGAGCTACAATTTATATTGACGACGACGTTGTGCCCGGAACCACGGAACGCCGAGTTACAATGATTGGATCAATTGACTCAATTGCTGCAGCTATCAATCAGATAAAAAGAAGATCTGGTGGACGTCCGGAGTTATCAGATAGCGAAAGAATGGGGCAGTATTTTGCTATTCCTTCAGATGCAACAGGTCACCTTATTGGTCTACAAGGGTCGACAATTAAGAATATTTCTGAGCGCACGGGTGCGCGTCTCCAACTTCCTTCGACTGAAGACCTGCCTCTAGGTAGTGTCAATCGAATTTTACACATCCAAGGCACGTCCAAAGAGACTGAGCACGCCAAAGAAGTCGTGACAGCAAGGTTACGTGAGCATATAGCTACGTCGGAAAATTTGAAGACGTTCGCACCTGAGTTCACCGGTGAAAAGGGTGATAAAGTTACGATCAAGGTTATTTTGCCCTCGCGAATATGTGGCCTGATGCTAGAAAATCATGGCAAACTTATTCGCGAGATTTCGGCCAAGGCAGGTGCCCACACACATTTCTTAGCTCCACATAACAGTAGAACTCGAGTCTGTGTTTTTACAGGCGAGATGATCTCTGTGCTTCGAGCACAGCGTCTTGTTTTACAAATAATTGCTGGAGATATGATCTCTTGCAAAAGATTGGCCAAGTCTCGAAAACGTAAGCGAGATCAGGCTGATACGGGCGGGCATATGAAGGATGGCGAACTTGATGAGAGTGAAGACTACGATTCCGACAAAGAGTATTGTAAGGTTACTAAACTTTCAGTCAGACAGCATACTGTACGTCGACAGGAACTACAACGGCGTCCTGGATATGACGATGGAATTAAAGACGTGTATGGTCCAAATGATTTTTTGAAACCTGAATACGAAATGGTTGTAGATCAGACAAATGATCGGCGACCATTCGTGACTCACAACTGCGACCATCATTACGATAAGAAATCACATGAATCATTCCGGAACGAGGGTAACGATCATGATGACAATGATCTCGGCATTCCAGACGCATTTCGAGCTCGAATACTGAAGCAACGAGCTATGATGCTTCGACCTCGTATTGAATACCAAGGCGCGTACGAGATTGAGACCCAAGAATGCGACGATGGAAATCAGCGAGCTATGGGTAACTTATCTCGTAACCGATCGCGTTCCGTCGTACGTCCTGGACGAAAGGTGGAAGTTGTCACGTCGTCTCTTGAATGGCGCGGCAAAATCAAGTCCAGATACCGACGCCGTAGCACTAACATTCTGTCCTATGATCGTGGTAAAGATACTAGCGTTCATCAGGACGTTACTCGAACAAAAAGATATGGGCGAAGTCATGTGAACAAGCGCCGTCGACAGTGAATTACATTTGCAAAAGCATGTTGCCAAGATTACCGTCACGTGATATTTATCGTGTTATAATTCGTTTTAGCGTCGGACTAATAGACCAGCTGCAGTGGCTGCAGTAGCGCACGCAATAAAGGATAAGCCCAAGTAAATTGGCGATTTCGGTGGCGAATCTGCAGCATCTCGTCTTATCTTTTCTATGGACGACTGAGGTGCTGGAGCAGTCGTTGCTAACGACTCTTGCATTTCTCGTTTCCCGTCGCCATCACACAAGTGCATTATGGGGCTATGAGTCTCAGTAACCCTGTGAATTAAGTTCTGACCGTTACCGAAATTTAAATGGAATCGTGCTGCCGGACGTTTAAGAATTAAAGGCGCATGAATAAAACTCTGCTGCTCATCCTCAATTTCAGTAAGAAGGAAGCTTTTTGTAGATTCGTCATCGAAGTTTTGCAAAGCAACGGGAGTGATATCAGGAAGCAAAGAGGTCTGCTGATCCCACTCCAATTCTAGCGACATTCTCCGCCGTGTGTTTCCGTCCTTAACGACTAATTGCGTGTTTGTTTCGGTCGACGCATCATTATCCATGCAAATGATGCTCTCAATATCAAGTGGCGGCAAATCAGAGCGCGGCTGTGTAATGAGCTCGTCTTCATTGTCCCGTTTCAAAAATTCAATCGGCGAAGGTGACTTACAAGCTAGCACATCTGCTGCAGTTGTCACTATATCCGCCGTCTGCCGCCTAGAACCGCCACCTAAGCTCATATCATTTGCATCTTGACGAAGAAGTTGATTTTCCATTCGAAGAGCTGCCACTTGACGTAGGGCGTCTTGCAGTAGCTGCTCTAAGCCTTCGGTCTCTTCCTGAGACTTCACTGCCACTTCCCGTCTTATGCCACTCGCTCGTCTACGTGCGCTTTCAAAATGCTCTTCCATTAGTTGGAGCGTTTCAGTCACGCGTTTCGTCTCAGCCTGTGCCCGGTTTGCCGCCACCTGAAGCTGTGTCACCGCTCGTACTTGACCACTTTCTAACCGAGCAACCAATTCGTCCCGTACCGTTATTAGATCGCGTAGCTCTTGATTTTCGGCTTCAAGACGCCGTGTCATGCAGCGCAACGAATCGCGACCAGCTTGCACGCGCTCTAGCTCTTGTGATTGCTCGTTCAGCTGTGTCATGACACATTCGAGCTCTTGTTGTGCGTAAGCCGTCTCAGCGTGCTGCTCGTGGTTACGTTGACGCAGACGAGTAATCTCCTCTGTTAGCTCTTGCTGTCGCTGCTGATCACGCTCTCGAGTTAGCTCAAGCTCTATAAACTGACGCTTTAATTCGTTCCCGCGATGTTCAAGTTGTGCCATTTCAACTTCTTGAGAGCCGCAGCGTTCGCATGAATCTATTCGATTAGCTCTGCCGCTGAAAGGGGTGAGTGAGGGACGAAGTCCTGTCCCATCGTGCAGTCCGTTGTAGCGCTGCATCTCTGCCTCTAGCGATATATTCTGATCTCGTAAACGTTGCGCTTCTCGCATGAATCGGTCGCATTCGCCTTGCGTGACCTCCACTTCGTCATGTAAAGTATCGATCTCTTCACGTGCGCATTTAAGTTCTTCAAGTAATGCATTGCCTGCTTTAGCAGCCAAACGAAGATTGTCCTGTTCTACCGCAAGCTCAAGTAGTACATGTGCCAGCTTATCTGTTAGTATGCACGTTTCTCTCGCAGTGCTGTCCACATCCATTTCATTATTATTACAAAAATGGCAAGTCACATGTTGTGTTCCTTCAGTCTGCTTGGAATCGCAATCACTAATTCTCTCACTATAAAGAGAGACATTGCAACTGCGACGCTCATCAGTTATGACTAAATCGACAATAAGTTGCCGTACTTGGTCGAGTAGACCAGCATCGTCTCTCATTCCATATTCTGCTTCTCTGCCGACCACCTGCAGACGATCGCAATGTCCACTGCTGCTCATAGTGGACAGTACCATACTGATTGGAATTCGTACACTCCATACAGACAGATCAGTACTGGAAGCCGTTGCATCTTTTAACGTCCAGTACCGTAGAGACGGTACGAAAAGAAGTATATTCTTAGTCCCATCGGTTTAAATTTGTGTTATAGTAGCGACATCGCCACGTTGTGTGCGAATAGTGTGGTACCTAGAACCCACGATTGACGATTCTGATTCTGAATTGATAAACGAATGAAGCATCTGAGTGAGGGTATTGTGATCAGTATAATTTTATGGTCTGGTTATAAGGATTGTGTTCATTTGTAGGTGAACGCCACGATGATACCGTAGACCGATGTGGCGATTTAATGCGAAAACAACAGTCGTTATCGACTAAAGCGAGGTCTTTGGACGTAAACCATCGTTCGAGTCGGAGATCGATGAATTTTGTTGAGGGAGTGATTGCGGCTAGTGAACAAGTTGGGGCAGAAAGCAAAAATAATTCGCGTCATGACAATATCCTCTCGAATTATAAGCGACGCACGCCTGAAGAATTAGCTGAATATGTATGTGTTTTTAAGTTGCTGTGATATCGTTTTGGTAGTGATTATCATTTGCCTCTGTGATTCGATTTGGCAGAGTCGACTGTGTGAGCAGCGAATAGCAAACACCCGAGGAAAAGATCTTCAAGATCGACAGTATGCTCTGGCACTCGAGCGAGAGCGTCAAGCGCGAAGTCGGGCAGCAAGTGAAGCTGCACCAGCTCAGGCTGTTCAAAGACTTCGAAAACGACGAGAAAAGCTGCGACGTGCTGCGGAAGCGGAGCTTGAGGCTCTAGTTGTACAACAAGAGTCTTCGCTCGAGGCTATGAACATTGTTCGAATGCTGTCGCCTCGATTTTTAGAGCGTGCGCAGTTCACACCCTCTATAGCCAGATATTCTGCCGAAGACGAACGTATAAAATGCCTTCTTTCGTCAAGAAATGAAGGCTCTTACTACTAAAGAATGACTTTTACATAATTGAATAATACAAGTATTATTTTTAATATCATCTCGAGCAAGTTCTGAAAAACACCAATCACATGTGACCCAGACAAACTGTCAATCTACAACGTATATTGTCCCTTTTTCACTCTTGTTTGATCTCTATGCCCCACACATAGCAGAAATCGTGACACTGCGTGTACGATTAACGCGTAACAAAACTTGTGCATTTTTGAACAGCCGACAATTATGTCAATTGTCACTGCTTTAAGAATCATTAAGTATCACGGTGGTAAATGACAAATTTGCTTATTCGCCAATCTAAAAGGGAAGACTTAATGTGTGCTATTGAGCAGTCTCCTTTGATATTTTGGACTTCAGATTCATAACCTTCGCATACACCCGACAAAATATTATCGGAATCGCAAGCAAGATGTCACGAAAGTACGCGTGTAATGAGTCAGTGGTCGTGCATATGATAAATGAAAAAGTGGATTGCAATGTTTGAGCTCGATCAAATCATTTATATCGCTTCTTGGTGGAGCTTTGGTGAGTCATGAACCCACCTGCAAAAGCGCTATTGACGCGGGCACTAGACCGAGGCAGTCAACGTACTGGAGATCGGATCATTCGAGTTGGTGAACACAGAAGGTGTATCATACACGAGTCCTGAGCATGGCTCGCGGGCCTAAACGTAGAGTGGTGTGTAACCACTGAGCGCTGCTCAAGTATCGGAGCAGTCGCTGCATGCCATGCGTGGCAAGGGTCGAGGCATCGCCAGTGACACACGTGAAGTAGCACGTAATCAACTGAGTACTGCTCACATTTTGATGAAGTTGCTGCATACCACGAGTAGCATGGTCGGACGAGGTCCGAGGCATCGAAGGCAAGGCCCTTCAGATGCTCGTGGAGTGGCACTTTATCCACTGAAAAATTCTGCAGAGCTAGCGGCTCTTCGTCGTATGTTGTTAATAACATCAGTGCTCCGGTGGAGTAGGAAGTAGAGCTGACACTGGACGACGCTGAGTGCGTGGTCCCACTGGTCTCGTCGAGACGTCCAATCTCTGTAAGGAGGGGATAAAAACGCCGTATTCTAGCTGCAAGACGCCAAGCATCGACCTTGGTCTACCGTAGACATTAGCGCACAACTAAACACCCTCGTCAACCGTATGATGAGGGCTGAAGACGGCGACCTTACCCTCGAGGCTATTCCTGCGGTCGATGCTCTTCTTGAGCTGGACGAGATGTCCTTTGAAGGGTTTGGCGGTGCTTGTAAGGTAGGCGACTTAGCCGAAGTGGTCATTGTACAACTGGAAGAAGCGATCAACTCGTCGTCGCTTCTAGATGAAGCCGTCCTAGAAAACACCAAGAGGGTGCAAGCGCACAAAGTGGATCTTTGATCCGGAAGAATTTCTCAGATCCGTACTATCCTTTGGTGAAGGAATTTTAACATGCCATCGTCAAGGACCAGCCGTCAGCCCTACTCCCGGACCGAGGTGTGCGTCATGACATCGACCTGGATCCGGGAACCAAAGACTGCGTACCCTGCCCGAGGAGCAGTGCGACGTCATTGACGCCTTATTCCGTGCGAAGCACGTCGCAGGAATGGTGCGTGAGAGTAAGTCTTCCCATTTAACACCCACGATTTGAAACCGGAAAACGAACGGCAAGTGGCGTATCACTCACGCTTACAATAAGCCCAACGCTGCCACCATTTCGGTACAGACGCCGATTCCTTGGAAGGATGTTCTCCAGAACAACATGGTTGGGTGTACAATGTACAGTGCACTCCACTTGGTTAAAAAGTATCATAAAGCGAGTGGTTTTACGCTGACAGCGGTGAGTACTCTGAGCGGCATGCTCTGGGAGTAGCTGGTGATGCAACAAGGGCTGTCAAATGCATCATCAATATTCAATAGTCTTATGATGTAGTTGTTCAGGCCCCACCGGGCGTATGCGTAAACAAACTTCGACAATATATTCGTCCACAGTCGTGCGGGGCACAAGAGGACAGATAAGGAAAACCACATCGTCCATTTGAGGGCGGTGCTCGAGTGCATTTGCACGAATAAGCTGTATGCTTTTGAAGATAAGTGCATCTTTGGCGCCGAGGAAATCCTTTTTTAGTGTGATTCCTTGGGAACCGTGGTCTTTTAGCAGAAACCGCTAAGTCGAGTCCATTGTGGAGTGGACGGTATTAAGGAACCAAAGGGCCTCCTAAGAGGCTTAACCTCGCCAACTCCTCGCACAAATATAGCGCGAATTTCGCGGAAATTGCACGGCCATTGCAAGTATTCTTAAAAAGGATGCGGGACGTTGTTGGGAGACCGAGCATCGTGAGGCTTTTGACGGGGTCAAAGACATCCTCCTTCACCCACCAATACTGGCGCACCAGATCGTCCTTTTATTGTCGTCTGTGACGCTTCGAACTTTGCCATCGGCTGTGCACTGCTGCCCGAGGGGCGAGATCGGGTGATCGCGTTCGAATCTCGTTAGCTCAAGGCTGCGGAGAAGAATTACCCAGTCCACGACAAGGAATTACTTGCGATGAAGTATGCACTTGTCAAGTTCAGGGTGCACCTACTTGGCTCAAAGCTATGTATAATCTACACAGATCATGTGTCACTACGCACGCCGACTCAGTCACCTCACCTCTCGAAAGGATGACCAGGTTGCTCTCCTTTTTTGCAGAATATTACTTTGAAGTATAAACCAGGAAAGCAGAATGCTTTGGCTGATGCGTTGTCACGCAGATTGAATTATGAGCTTGCCCATGTCACGACGCTGATGTCATCAGTGACGGATTTGATTCGCGCCGCTACACGGGTGATGGTATGTGTGTAGCGCTGCTCCAGGGTTTCGGGGGAAAGGATTTTAGAATCTCGGACAGGAAGTTGTCGTCGCGACTGCGCGCATGGTTGTACTCATATTCCTTGAATAACAAATTGCTATATTTTAGCACCGATTTGACGGATACGCCACGAATCACGATGAGGATTTGAATTATCGTGTCTTCTTTGAGACCCACAACATCTCCCTCAGTGGCCATCTCGGTCGTGAAAAGTCGTACAGCTCTGTGAGTTGCCACTACTGATGGCCTAGGTGTACAATTGGACGAGCACACATGTGAGCAGGTGTGAGACGTGTCAAATGGTGTAACCCTTTCTGAATGCGGCGGCGCCGCTGGCCAGCTTACGGATACCTTTCGGGTGTTGGCAGTCTATTAGTATGGACTTTGCGCTCGACCTGCCGAAGGACTCGGCGGGCAAAACGGGTGTGGCGGTGATTGTGGATCGTTTGAGCAAGAAGGATCATCTCGCGGCAGTGCTGGACACCATCGACGGTGTGGGTACAGCTACGCTGTTTGTGAGTCGTGTCTTCCGACAACATGGACCCCCAGAGTAAATTGTCTCTGATAGAGACCCGCGTTTCAAAAAGAAGTGTTGGTCTACAATATTCAGAGAGATGGGCAATGTCAACGGCGGACCATCCGCAGACCGATGGTCAAACTGATCGCGTGAATCACGTCGCTGAAGACGTTTTTCGCAGCCTCCGCGCTGAGACGCCGAGGCGCTGAAGCTCAATGCTGCCACTCGTAAAGTTTGCAGTGAACAATACAGTGTATTCGTCTACCGGCTACACGCCGTTCTACGTGAAGGGGCTTGTAAATTCTCGGTCCCGCTGATGCCACCATTCAATGGCTCAGGGCTTGGTGGGGGACGAATAGTCAAACGGCTAGCTGAGGCTAGCTGGTGTCAGCCCCATCACTGTCCGTAAAGAAGTCGATGACTATTTGTCTACCAGACTGAGTGTCCTACGACATGTTCGCGATGCAATGGCTAAAAGCAAGACATAAAAGAAGCAGAAGAAATGCTGAAAATTTTGAGTTTAGAGACCTGATTTTATTAAATGCTAAAATTTTATGTTACCCATGCAGTTTCTGCCGTCTTTAGACCATCCATGGTTTATCGGATTTTTCAAGGTCGTGGTTCAGCGAGGCCTTGTATACGCTAAACCTCTCGAAACGGATGAGCATCCACCCGGTATTTTCTGTGGGCTTGCTTAAGCTTACCAGAATCCGGCGCAAGTGAACGCGAAGCATGGGCGCCAGCGGCGCTCTAAGGCGCTCAGCCACCCAGTAGCTGAACTAGCAATCGGTTTTAAACACGCAGTGAAACAATTTCTGTTTCCAACGGCGCCAAGCGCTCACCTTTGTATGAACCGACACATTCGTCTGCTTAACGGCTTGGAGCCGCTCCGATAAAGTTTGATAGACCTTAACGTGAGGCAGCAGGCCCACAAAGTGCACCAAGCTCTCGAGGGCTTCCACACAGCGGTATGCGACCTCAGTAAGATTCTCGGCGGAGTGCCGCTGACGATGGCCTTGTCCTCCAAAGCTCGAAGAGCATCGTGACGGCGATCGACCATGTCGTCGTCCGCCGCCGACTCTCCTCGATGGGAAAGGTGGCGTCCACTATTACCTAGAACGCCTTGTGGGTCGAGTTCATCGACAGGGTCGAACCCAATATCTTTTGATGCGGCGGAGATACACAAATTTCGAGAACTCGTGGAAGTTTGAGGTGCCACTTCGGCAAAACTGCCCAGACGTTGTGGAAACTTATGATCAAATGAATCATAACGCTTCGCGTCGTCGTACACTACGCGCTCGGCAATAGCCAGGAAAGCCGGAGGGCCATGAGCTGAGCCCAAGCTATGGTCCTGAGCTGCTGTGGTGGTAGAGCCACCCGTGTGAGAGACCACAGAGCTCGCGAAAGCGTGCGGGATCAGCCCATACGTCGCAGGGGGCCAATCCGAAGGAAACTGGCGACGCGCCTTGTGTCTGGCAAACTCAAATCGAAGATGACATTTCACACGCGAGTCCACCTTTTTGTGTCTCAACTGTTAGCTGTATAGCGAGAGAAGTTTTCGGGACCGCTACAACCATCGCCCAAAGAGCTCTTTGTCAATAGCAGCGGTTTCATCAGGGGCGAGCACTACATATATTGTCCGCATCGGAG